GCAGGTATACAGTGTACCTACACGGTGCAGGTATGCAGTGTACCACCGTGGAGGTAAGCTAGTGTACCTACACGGTGCAGGTATACAGTGTACCTACGGTGCAGGTATACAGTGTGCACCACGGTGCAGGTATGCAGTGTACACGGTGCAGGTATACAGTGTACCTACACGGTGCAGGTATGCAGTGTGCCTACACGGTGCGGAGCACAGTGTACCTACACAGTTGCAGGTATACAGGTGTGCCACACGGTGCGGTGTAGTGTACCCACACGGTGCAGGTGTGCAGTGTACCTACACGGTGCGGAGTACAGTGTGCCACGGTGCAGGTATCAGTGTTCCCACACGGTGCAGGTATGCAGTGTGTACCTGCACGGTGCAGGTATGCGGTGTGCCTACACGGTGCAGGTATCAGTGTACCTACACGGTGCAGGTGTCAGTGTACCACCGTGGAGTGAACAGTGTACCTACACGGTGCAGGTATGCAGTGTACCTGCAGTGCAGGTGGTGCCCACATGGGTGACAGTGTGCCTGGTGCAGGTATACAGTGTACCTACACGGTGCGGTATGCAGTGTGCCTCACGGTGCGGTATGCAGTGTACCTACACGGTGCAGGTATACAGTGTACTACACCGTGCAGTGATGTACACGGTGCAGGTATACAGTGTGCCTACACGGTGCAGGTATGGTGTGCCACCGTGGTGGTAGACATACCTACACGGTGCAGGTATACAGTGTACTCCACGGTGCAGGTATACAGTGTGCCCTGCAGTTGCGGGTATGCAGTGTAGCCTGCACGGTGCGAGGTATACAGTGTGCCTACACGGTGCAGAGTATGCAGTGTACACACGGTGCAGGGCAGTGTACCACAGTGCAGGGTATACAGTGCTACATTGTTGAGGCATACAGTGTACCTACACGGTGCAGGTATACAGTGTACTGCAGTGCGGGTATACAGTGTACTACACGGTGCAGGTACTAGTGTACTACACGGTGGGTATACAGTGTGCCTACACGGTGCAGGCAGCTGTGTGCCACGGTGCAGACCAGCGGTGGCCTACACGGTGCAGGTATACAGTGTGCCTACACCGTGTGGAGTGCTGTGCCACACGGTGCAGGTATACGTGTGCCTACCACGTTGCGAGGTATACAGTGTGCCTACACGGTGCGGTATACAGTGTACTACACCGTGGAGGTACACCACGGTGCAGGTAAGATGCCCACACCGTGCAGGTATACAGTATTACCACACGGTGCGGTACATGCAGTGTAGCCTACGTGCAGGTATACAGTGTACCTACCGTGAGGTAACAGTTACCACGGTGCAGGTATACAGTGTACCTACACGGTGCAGGTATACAGTGTGCCTGCACGGTGCAGGTACAGTGTGCACGGTGCAGGTATACAGTGTACTACACCGAGGAATAAACAGTGTACCCTACACGGTGCAGGTAAACAGCGGTGCATAGACGGTGCAGGTATACAGTGTTCACGGTGCAGGTATACAGTGTACCTACACGGTGCAGGTACAGTGTACCACGGTGCAGGTATACAGTGTGCCTACACGGTGCAGGTATACGGTGTACCTACACCAGGGAATTGACAGTGTACCTACGGTGCAGGTAAACAGCGTACGTAGACGGTGCAGGTATACGGTGTACCTACACGGTGCGGTATGCAGTGTGCCTACACGGTGCGGGTATACAGTGTGCCTACACGGTGCAGGTAAACAGCGTACCTACACGGTGCAGGTATACAGTGTACCTACACGGTGCAGGTATACAGTGTACCTACACGGTGCGGGTATACAGTGTACCTACACGGTGCAGGTAAACTAGTACCTACGGTGCAGATATACAGTGTACCCGGTGCAGGTATACAGTGCCTACACGGTGCAGGTATACAGTGTACCTACACGGTGCAGGTATACAGTGTGCCTACACGGTGCGGGTATACAGTGTGCCTACACGGTGCAGGTATACAGTGTACCTACCGAGAGTGAAACAGTATTACGGTGCGGTAAACAGCGTACGTAGACGGTGCAGGTATACAGTTTACCTACGGTGCGGGTATGCAGTTATTACACGGTGCAGGTATACAGTTATGCCTACACGGTGCAGATGTACAGTGTGCCTACAGTGCAGGTATACAGTGTGCCTACACGGTGCAGGTATAGTGTACCGGTGCGGGTATACAGTGTACCTACACGGTGCAGGTTATACAGTGTACCTACACGGTGGTGTGTATGTGCCTACACGGTGCAGATATACAGTGTGCCTACACGGTGCAGGTATACAGTGTACCTACGGTGCGGGTATACAGTGTACCTACACCGGGGAGGTATACAGTGTACCTACACGGTGCAGGTATACAGTGTACACGGTGCAGATATACAGTGTGACTACACGGTGCAGGTATGCAGTGTGCCTACACGGTGCAGGTATACAGTGTACCTACACGGTGCAGATATACAGTTAGCCTACACGGTGCAGGTATACAGTGTACTACACGGTGCAGGTATACAGTGTACCTACACTAGGAGGTAAACAGTGTACCTACAGTGCAGGGTAACATGCAGCCAGACGGTGCAGGTATACAGTGTGCCTACACGGTGCAGATATACAGTGTGCCTACACGGTGCGGGTATACAGTGTGCCTACACGGTGCAGGTATAATTATTTACAGTGCAGGTATACAGTGTACCTACACCGAGGTAAACAATTAAGCCTACGGTGCGGGTAAACAGTGTACCTACACGGTGCAGATATACAGTGTACCTACGGTGGAGCAAGTGTGCCTACACGGTGCAGGTATACGATGTGCCTACACCGAGGGGTAAACAGTGTACCTACACGGTGCAGATATACAGTGTGCCTACACGGTGCAGTGCAGTGTACCCCACGGTGCAGTATGGCAGTGTACCTACACGAGGAGGTAAACAGTGTACCTACACGGTGCAGATATACAGTGTGCACGGTTATACAGTGTTACCGGTGCAGGTATACAGTGTTACCTACAGTGCAGATATACAGTTAGCCTACACGGTGCATGCTAAAGTGTGCCTACACCAGGAGGTAAACAGTGTGCCTACGGTGCAGGTAAACAGCGTACGTAAACGGTGCGGGTATACAGTGTACCTACGGTGCGGGTATGCAGTGTGCCTACACGGTGCAGAGTATACAGTGTACCGTGCAGGTTATGCAGGTCTCACGGTGCAGGTAAACAGCGTGCATAGACGGTGCAGGTATACGGTGTACCTCACCGTGCAGGTATACAGTGTGCCTACACGGTGCAGATACAGTGTACTACACGGTGCAGGTATACAGTGTACCTACCGGGGAGGTAAACAGTGTACCTACACGGTGCAGATAACAGTGTGACCTACACGGTGCAGGTATACAGTGTACCACCACGGTGCGGAGCACACTGTGTACACGGTGCAGATATACAGTGTGCCTACACGGTGCGGGTATACAGTGTACCTACACCGGGGGGTAAACCAATTAACCTAGGTGCGAATACAGTGTGCCTACCGTGCAGGTAAACAGTATTACTACGGTGCAGGTAAACAGTGTACTTAGACGGTGCAGGTAAACAGTTTCCTACACGGTACAAAGTGGGTATTACCTACACCGTGCAGGTATACAGTGTACCTACACAGTGCGGGTAAACGACGTCACGTGGACGGTGCAGGTAAACAGTGTACCTACGGTGCAGATATACAGTGTACATACACGGTGCAGATGCTCAGTGTACCTACCGAGGAGGGTAAACAGTGTACCACGGTGCAGGTAAACAGCGTACGTAGACGGTGCAGGTATACGAGTGTACCTGCACGGTGCAGGTATACAGTGTACCTACACGGTGCAGATATACAGTGTGCCACACGGTGCAGGTACGAATGTGCCTACACGGTGCAGGGTGCTGATGTGCCCTACACCGAGGGGTAAACGAATTGTGCCTACGGTGCAGATATACAGTGTGCCTACACGGTGCAGGTATACAGTGTACCTGCACGGTGCAGTATGCAGTTACTACCCTAGGAGGTAAACAGTGTACCTACACGGTGCAGATATATGGTGTACCCGGTGCAGGTAACCGACCGATTGCAGATATACGGGTCGTAGACGGTTGGGTATACAGTGTACCACGGTGCAGGTATACAGTGTACCTACGGTGCGGGTATACAGTTATGCCTACGGTGCTGGGTATACAGTGTTACCTACACGGTGCAGGTATACAGTGTACCTACACGGGGAGGTAACAGTTATTGCCACGGTGCAGATATACAGTGTTTCGGTGCGGTATACAGTGTACCTACACGTGCAGGTAATACCCACACCGTGGAGTAAACTAGCGGCTCGTAGACAGTGCGAACGGTAACCTACAGGTGCAGATATACAGTGTGCCTGGGTGCAGATATGCAGTGCTACGGTGCAGGTATGCAGTACACCACGGTGCAGGTATACAGTGTGCCTACACGGTGCGGGTATACAGTGTGCCTACGGTGCAGGTATACGTGTACCTACACGGTGCAGATACAGCATGCCTACAGTGCAGTTTTAAGTGTATGTAGACGGTGCAGGTGTCTGGTGTGCCTACAGTGCAGGTGTAGTGTGCCAGTGCGGGCTATACAGTGTACCACGGTGCAGGTATGCAGTGTACCTACACGGTGCAGGTATACAGTGTGCGTAGACGGTGCAGGTATACAGTTGTACCTACACGGTGCAGGTATACAGTGTACCTACACGGTGCAGGTATACAGTGTGCCTACACGGTGCAGGTATACAGTTATTGCCACGGTTCAGGTATACAGTGTACCTACATTTGGTATACAGTGTACGTAGATGGTTCAAGTAATGCTAATAATAAGACAATTGGACCAAGATAGTAAACAATGTAGTATAAACATTCCGTAAATTATTGATATATATATATAATCCTTGACATGATTCTTCTGGTGTGTCTAATTCCTTCCCGCTGGTCACTACTGCAGGACACGGTGGCGCTGGTCACCGCCACAGAATACGCTTTCCAACGGGTCAGGGTCGGAGTCTCCAGAAGATACCATAGGCGTCATTATGGAAGTGAGTGTGTGTGTGTGTGTGTGTGTGTAATAATGTAATAAGAATGTGATGAATAACTATTTATTTATATTTAAACTAGTACAAAGTTGAACACATATATAAACCTTGATGAGTTCATAAATAAAATTCTTCTCTATGAGTGAGTGAGTGAGTGAGTGATGGAGTGAGCAAACGAAATATTTTCTTCTTCTAACACCACGTTACCCCTTACGCAGAACCCTTCTACGGCTAAAGATAGAGCGTTATCTTCACTACACATCTGCCAAGTGTTCGTTTTGTATGAACACTGATTTGCAAGGAATATAGTGTGTGTGTGTGTTTTACAGTGTTAAGTGTAAACGTGTAAATTATGCTATTTTTAATGATTTTGTACTACTTCTACTTAATGAAATATAACTAAAAAATCTGGAGAGCGTGTTTGTGTGTTCCTAAATCTGGTGTTTAGTGTAGAATTTGCAACCACTTTTGGGGTGAGTTGAAATAAAATTGAAAAATATCGTAGTTGTTACACTAAATAGGGATCATTGCCGAATAGCGAAAACTTCTATGTAGGCCTATTTGTCTTTTTTTAACACTTCTGACTGGCCACAGACGATCATGTACAGTATATTGTCATAATACATGCATATACATGATTAACATTATAATCAGCTTAAACCACTATAAAAAGCTTAACCTTACCTTATCTACAGTATGTATAATTTGGGCATCTTTTGAGGGTAAACGACTTTTTAAATGAAGTACAGAAAAATACATATGTTCAGAATTTGTGACCTCGTTACAACAGGATGATAGTTTTTCAGACACTTAAACTTACTATTATAAATATCAATGACGAAATATCCTCAAACACTTAATTTATTCAGTATTTTATTCACAGTAGATTAATTGTTTCTCAATAGAGTTCAGTGACTCAACCAGTACAATGAACTGCTGTTAAAGTTTACTATTCATTATAAACATCGCAGTAATTTAACCATAGTAAAATACACCTAATTCATCTTTTTTGCTATTTTTAACTATGGTAAATGTTTCCTTGTAAGAGCTTGGGTGTTACATTGAATTACTAGGAGACATCTCGTTTTCTGTGGAATGTATTGTCAGTGTGGGGGAGAAGTGTGTTGGGGGGGTAGGTGTGTGTGTGTGTTTATATGGTGTCCCAGAAAAATGTCCCTCCTTCCCTCCCTCCTGCCTGGCAATAGACAACCTCCCTAGACCAACATCCGCCAGTAGGGTCGGCGGAATATGAAATAAGGCCCTTAAAACACCCATGTATGGGAGAGGGTAGGATGTCTAGTGCCTGTACCAACAGACAATAAATAACCCATGACAACCCTGACACATTATTAGCTTAGCTGGGGTCAGCCCGCCCTCTCTTACCTCCTCCTAAACTTCTTCAATTTCCGAACTATAACTTCCTTCTCCGTCCTCTAATCTTCTTTCACCCTCCTTTCTCTGAAAAAATAAAATATAAAAAAGGGAGGGAGGGGGAGGCAGGCAGGGGGATGGAGGGAGGGAGCAGGAGGAGGAGGAGGAGGAGGAGGACATTTTCTGGGACACCGTACAGTATATTAGTGAACTTTAAGGTCAGTTCATAGTTTACATTGTTTACAGTAGAGTATCAGAAGCACAATAAACATTAAGATTATTATTAACACCTTGAGAGAGACTAAACAAATAACCAAACAGACATACAGGTATATACAAGAGCGCGGACAAACACTCACACACACACATACAACAGTAACCAACAGATGGAGGAAAAACAAATTAGAATACAGGAGAATAATACAGTATACAGGAATCACAGTATATCTTGTATTAAGTCTCCGACGTGTGGAATGAGAAATATGATTAACCTCTCTCTACCCTGACGCCCTTCCATTGTCTCTTGTGGTCTATCCTTCGTCAGGAGGGCGTAGTGGCTTGTTCAGGTACACAACAAAAAAAATTTTTAAGGGTAAAATCGTATCCTTGATATATATGTCGTCTATATCACGTAGAACGGTGTCTCGTGGCCGCTTCATGGTGGTGAACAAGGAAGGTGTTGGTTATGGAATTTACGACATGACGTTCAGCTACGCCCTTACGTAACGAGTCAAGCATAAGGTTTGCAGGGGTCAATGTCTGAGCTGATAATTACACGCCATGACTCGCCCGAACGCCTCTATTGCCTGTCCGCCGCCTCACTCACATCAGCCTCAACCCTCTAATAAATCCTACTTACCCATTACAACTGGGACTCGACCCTAAATGGACCACAGAGGTAGTAGGTACTAATAATAATTCTCCAAACTCTATTGTAATTGGTTTAGGTCAGCTTGGGGCCCATAAGGACTGGTTTATTAGGACTGGGGCCCATCTAGACAGGGGCCTTTACTAGACCTGGAGTGTATTAGGATGAGAACTGGTCGCACACACACACACACACACTGACCCCATCCTCGTCTCGCTTCATAATTATTCTGTTTCTCTTCATTTCTGAATTGTTAAGAGTCATTTCAAGGACTGAGTTGGCACCATACTGTAATCATGAACCTTTAGTCATTCACCTGTAATAAATTACCTGTAATCACCTGTAATAAGTCACCTGTAATCACCTGTAACCATTTACTTTTAATCAGCTATAATCATTCACTTGCAAACATTCACCTGTAACCGTTTACCTGTAATCATTGGCCTGTAATTACCTGTAATAATCCACCTGCAAATACCTGTAACCATTCACCTGTAATCACCTGTAATCCCTTGTAATCCAACAGCTGGGGCTATTTTAAGTTAAAAACAAAAACAAAAACAAAAAACAACTGAAAGCTTAAATCCACGCCGAGGTAAACTACCGTGTTCTTTGATGCCTTGCCAACCGTTGTGTACTTTCAGTTCCTAGGATTTAGGCCAGAGACTGTACAGTATATATTTGCCTGGTGAAACTGGTTACGTTTGGAGAGCCTCGCCTGGTTCGGTGTGGTGATGGTACCTGGTCACCGCAGGTTTACAAGTTTTTACGTTTTTTTCATGTTGACTTCTTGTGTTGGTACCGACTTTCACTGGATATGAGAGAACAGGGAGTGTTAATTGCTAGTCTAATTAACGTGTGTGTGTGTGTGTGTGTGTGATAACCGGTAGTTCATTTAACTTATTAAGTATGTGGGTGTATGTATATGTGTGCGAGTGTAGGACAAAGGGACCCCCGGACAAAAGCCCCCTCGAACAGAAGCCCCCCCCCCTCCTCCGGACAAAAGCCCCTACGACAAATAATGATAAGAATTTTTCTAAATAATTATTTTTATTCATTATTATTTACAGTTTATGAACGCTTCTGTGACATGTAAAATAATACATTTATTATATCAGAAGACTGCAATACCTAACGTAACGTAACGTAACGTAACCTGCTTTTATCCGGATCCCATGAGGGTATGGTATTGCAAGGATGTGTGGGGGTGTGTTATTGCAAGGGTGTGTGAGGGTGTGTTATTGCAAGGGTGTGTGAGGGTGCGGTATTGCAGGATGTGTGAGGATGTGGTATTGCAAGGGTGTATAAGGGTGTGGTATTGCAAGGATGTGCAAGGGTTTATTATTGCAAGGGAGTGTGAGGGTGTGGTAGTATGAGGGTGTGTGGTTAGACAGAATGTGGCCTCTCGGTGTGGCCAGGACGACCCACTGACCTCAGGTAACTCGTGAGTTGGGGTCCTTTAACACAACCGGTTTAGGGTATTCTAGCGACGGTGTGCATGAGCTATTAATAGATAGGTCGGCTGGTTATGGGGTGGGAGGTGAGAGTGGAAGACCTGTTTACCTGTTCGCACACACACACACACACACACACACACACACAGTATCTTATGAAACCAGGAAGTGAATTCATTCCCAGTGCTGTAAGGTAATAATCTTCCTTACCTGCTCAGGTATTTAACACTTCATAACTTGTTTTTCCTTTCATTCCTTTTCCTTCTCTATTTCTTTTCTTTATTTATTCCAATTCTCTCTCATCTCTCATTAAATCTTTATTTTATTTTTCAATCTTTCATCTTCATTTCTTCGTGCTCTCTCTCTCTCTCTCTCTCTCTCTCTCTCTCTCTCTCTCTCTCTCTCTCTCTCTCATTAGATCTTCAATTAGGTAATTAAATAGGTCTGCTTCCTCCATGAGTAAAGTCACTGGTTTAAATGTCGTGATATGAGCCAGATACTGTGACTTGTATCTATTATCGAGAGAGAGAGAGAGAGAGAGAGAGAGAGAGAGAGAGAGAGAGATAAACATTGAAAAATCAGTAGGAGAGAGGTTGAAATAAAAATAATTAGATCGAGAGAAAGAAAGAAAGAAAAAAGAGAGACAGAGACAGACATACACAGAGAGAAATAAACAGAGAAAGATAAATAGAGAAAAGAAGAAAAAAAAGAAAAAAGAAAATGAATAAGATATAAAACAACAAAACAAATACACTCACAATATTGCCACAGGCGTAAAGGAAGTGTTATATCACATGATCCTCAGGTGAAGGTAAAGACCCCACTAACTCATGAACCTCGAGTAATTGAAGAGTCGAAAACCTGTTCTTAGTCAACAGGTGGGAAGGAGAGGTGTGAGGGACAGGTGAGAGGGACAGGTGTGAGGGACAGGTGTGAGGGACAGGTGAGAAGGACAGGTGAGAAGGACAGGTGAGAAGGACAGGTGTGAGGGACAGGTGTGAGGGACAGGTGTGAGGGACAGGTGTGAGGGACAGGTGTCAGGGACAGGTGTCAGGGACAGGTGAGATGTCAACTGTCCTTCTCTCTCCTTCGGTCGGCTTTGCTCTGCCTCAGGGGAACGAGAGCATCGGCCCCAAAGCCGACAACAGTTGTAGATATTGATTATGAGGCTACAGTCACTGAATGCCGCATAGATCTGCGGCCCAACTAACTCAACACAGCTAGGATAACTACTTATGTATTAGGATATTTAATATTAAGGTAATAAAATGGTGGCGAAGGTAGTAGTAGTAGTAGTGTGTGTGTATGTTTGTGTGTGTATGTTTATCTGTTTGTGTCTATGTCTACTACAAAAAATCATTATAACCTGGAAATAGATGCAAAAAATATATATGCGTTGAAAGTTTATATAAAAATGAGATGCTTGAAAGTATTGACAAAACTAAAAATCTATGCATTATGCAATTTATGCAATATTATGTATGTTATGTCATCATACAAGAATTATATAATAATAATAATAATAATAATAATAATAATAATAATAATAATAATAATAATTAACGGTTTATTGAAAAAATTCTGCAGCCCGAAGGCTGAAAATATACATTGGACATAAATGACTTATTACATACATTGGTGGTTTAACAAAAGCCTTCATTAGAGAAAGGTGAAGGAACATACAGTGAACATACAGATTTATGTAGGTGTTGAACAGCAA